ATGATACGGTATTCAACGGAAAAACAATATCCCCACGGTATACTCTCCAGAGAGCAATCCTAGAGGCAGAGAGTTGGAGTGTCGCTAATGGAAGAGAAGAAGAAGAAGCATATCCCCTTGGAACCCCCAAATCTCGACATGCCATCGATGCATCCTGGATTGATCATGGACCGGTCAGTGGACTAGGGTGGTGTCTACGAGACTATACATGACTCCTCACTTTCGGTATGAGAAGATGTAGATGAAGCATCTTGGCACTTCATGTTGAATTCGATGGGCTGCTTTGGGCGATGGAATGACTAAGCGCAAGGAGACTCTTCTCTTTGAGGATCGAGACAGACTGTGCAAACCTGATTTCTGTGTCGACTCATCTGCAATATTGGCCATCTTTCAGACAGAACTTGACTGGTTTACTATGTTAAACATAACTTTGTATTTTTTAGTTTAGTCTATATCTCACGTAGTGACAATGTTCGGGCCGACTCTCTTGTAAAGGGAGTTCGAGCATGAGGATATGTTTTTTTCTATTTAAGTCAGATATTTCTGTTTAGGATAATCCGTCAGAAAACCATCCAATCGGTAGCAATTGATTTAATACATGGTGATGGTAAAAAAAAAAAAAAAGGTTAAAAATGTTCAAATAATGGACTCTGAATGGGCCCGTAAGAGGTCATATAGATAGTAAAACAGGCCCATCAATACTAAGGCTTATTTAGTGTACCTCATCCACTCCACCAAACCCAGTCTATTTACCTATTATTAAGATAATAATAATGGAATAATGACAACATCGAATATGAAATGCCATGCACGATCGTCATCAAATATACTAAATAAATACATTTGGATCGGCTCTGAATAGGCAGATTTTTCTCGTCGTATAACAACATATGACCTGTACTACTGAATATTCAATTTTTAGATAACTGTTTTTTTATTTGCCTAATTTAGTGCCAACCGCATGCCACATTATTCGAGCCCCCTTCACCAGAAAGGGCAGATTCTGTTGAGATTTTCCTTTTCTAATTGTACCCAAATCCTTGTTTTAACACGATGATGGTATACGTGTGTGGCCTTTAAGTTATTTATCAAATATAATCGTATTTTCATTACTATACTCTCTCAAATTTTTAATAGAAAACTTATCCACCTGAAATCACTTTATCGGTTTCTCATTTCATAGTCCACAATAAAGGTCTATGTATAATTGCTAATCACTTACTAATTAACATGAAATCTCTACAAAATATAACGTGTATTTTACAAAAAAATACATTAATACGTGTGCTAGTACGTACGTGTATCGAACTCAAAAGTTTTGTTTGTATGTTGGATATAAAGACAAGTGTATTTCTTAGTTTGACTAAAATACTAAAATTATAAATATTCAAGGATATTATAATGTATGTTGAGAGCATATTAATGGTGATTGGTGAACTTTTAATGATGTCTTAACATCTTTTTAATTAAAATTTAATAAATTTTTATGAAGTTTCATGAAAGAAGTTCTATGTATTGAACTTTAATAAAAGGGTCTTAATGAAATTAATATAAAAAATGAGTTAAGACACTTTCATAGGGGTTAGGGATAACGATACTCTAACATATTTGTATCCGAAAACCTACATTTAATTTAATGTAAAATTTTCAAAATAACATTTTTTAAAACTACTCCGTAATTAATTTGTTGTTTAGGTCATAGTAAAGGGAGAAAGTCCCTTTCCGACGATCAAGAGTCAAGTTTGACTCGAGATGCATAAAATGTACTGCTCTTGTTATAAACTTTAGTATATATTCTTAATTATGTACTACTAAAATCGGTTCAAAGAATCTCATGATTAGCCGTTTTAATACTAAAACAAAAACACATTCATATGTCAACTGGATCTGACGTTACCAAAAACTCGAAGACGACATGAGGTGTTATAATATGTCGACTAGTTTTTGTTTTTCTATAAAACAAAAGAGACAAGTCAGATATTAGCCACTCTTTTTCTAGCTTGACCAAAGTATGATCTATAATTTTAGATTAAATGCAAATACAGATTGTAATATGAGCTAGGTATGAAGAATCGGTTAGGTTATTTATAGGAACAATAATTATTAATCGAAGAACACCAGTGAAAAATAACAGAATCATTTGCTTCGGTCGAGCAAACTGTCGACACTGTGTAAGCGAGGATAATGGACGGTGAGACGATGATAGCTGAGTCACGTTACTCACAATGGTTGGTTGGTCTTTTGTAATCACTTTATTTATGGAATGATTGTGTATATAACGTTTACACTCGTCTTTTTGTAGTTGATCTGTCTCTTTATTGGCTACCGTCAACGCTCTTAAAAAAGGCAAGCACGAGAATTACGAACAAATCAATGACCTCTCAGTGACAGAGAGACCAATCCTCCCCGAAAGCTCTTAATATGTTTGTTAATTCATTATGTTTTTTTTTTGGGTTCATATATATAGAAAGAGATAATAATAGTTTATGGTACGTATACACACGTGGAAAACGCAGAGAAGCCGACTTTTCTACTATCGATCAATATAACTATTATTATTAAGAGCTTTTAGAAGAATCCATCCACTAAATAACTCTTTTGGGTCTCTTACAGCCTACTTAAAACGTACGTACGACATTGTCTTGGAGGAATGGGCAAACCGTGACCGGAGAGAGCCACCCGGCCCGTACGTATAGCATGTGGTAATTATTATGGTTGCGGTTTAAAATGAAAAAAAAAATTGTGACGGTATGGCTAATGAGGTCATTAAAAGTGTCCGTGAATTATTAATTTATGTGGTAATTAGTCAACGGTTGTGAATGTTGTAGAGCTAATTTGATTATGTGGCTCAACGAGTA